TTTTATAATTTTAGCTGAATTCTAATTTATAAAATAATTTATAATTATAATATATAATTAATATAGTGAGTTTGTTTTAATAAATGTTTCTGTTTTCATACTTTTAAAATGATTTCCTGTTTTTAAATAAATAGTTTAAATTTAATTTAATATATTGTATATTTATACATTTATGTATATAATATTCATCTTAATATAATTTTTCTTATACCTTCTCTTATACTATGCATGCTTTTATAATTTTAATTGAATTCAAATTTATAAAATAATTTATAATAATAATATATAATTAATATAGTGAGTTTGTTTTAATAAATGTTTCTGTTTTCATACTTTTAAAATGATTTCCTGTTTTTAAATTAATAGTTTAAATTTAATTTAATATATATTTATACATTTATGTATATAATATTCATCTTAATATAATTTTTTATTATACCTTATCTTATACTATGCATGCTTTTATAATTTTAATTGAATTCAAATTTATAAAATAATTTATAATTATAATATATGATTACTACAGCGAATTTGATTCGTGTATAAAATAAATAGCTCTTTATCTAACTTATTTTATTTTTTTAGAGTGCTGCAATGCAGCTGCAATAATGCATAATTGAGTGTGATTAAAACAACAATCAGACCAATAATATTTCAGTTTAAAATAATATGCATATACTCATTCGCATACACACATACATATGCATATCATTGTCCGCATTGCGACTGCATTTAAGCCAGTTGCACTTGGTGAATGCGCATTTGTGGCATAAACCGATTGTCGCCTGTGATAGCGTTTGCCAATGCACACGGAGGGTATTTCGATCAGCTTGAGATGACGATTTGTGCGGCATTCGACACTCGGCATGGGGCATGGGGCATGCGGCATGGGACCTGTAGTCTGCAATGGCTTGTTAGGCAAATGGAGTGGCAACTGTTTGTGCTGGCAGTGACGATTCGCATTCGTTGCATGTAATCCAATTGCAAGCCGGGGGCATCAAAGCGACGGAAAGTCGCTGCCAGGCCACACGCAGAGCCCGGCTGCCAATCTGAGCGGATGCACAGCTGGCTTTGGTGCTGCAGTCGCAGTCCTCTGGCTCTGAGTCTGCCGTTGGCTCTGCCCAGGTGCTAAATCCGCCTTGATTGCGTTTTCGTTTTTCTCCGATTCTACTTCGCCTCTTTTGCCCCGCCTCTCGTCGTCTCTTTTTTGTTCACTTACAATTTGTGTGCCAACAGATGTAAATGCAACGGAACTTATAGCCGTCAGGGCCATGGGTAGCGCTGGGGCTCGCCTTTTTATGCTCATTCACGAATGTGAAATGAGCATATTGATTTTGTGTGGTTCGCTATTGAAGGCGGATACTGAAATTGGACACAATGTGCCAAGATTTGCCCGTTCCGCTCTCCATGGGCGTGGCATGACGGAAAATGAATTTTTTTGACAGAAACCATGACAGTTAAGGTGCTAAAGAGCTGAAATTTTAAATATATACATTACTATACCCGTGTTGCCAGCCCAAAATAGTCTCATTGTGGGCGTGGCAAAAAACTGTGCTTAGGCAGTCTAAAGTTTTAGAGCTAGAAACTACAAATCGAACGACTTAATTGCTGTTGACATCCCCCTATACACATATACCGATTGGGGGCGTGGTTAATACGTCTATCAACGTTTGGCTAGTGACTGAGTATTCTGCAGTCGGTAACGCTCGACCGCAGCATTCATACTTGGTTTTTTTACTTTTATTGATACAATTCTTTCTTTCGCTGCGAAATGATGTGGAATTAAGTGCATAAATATATATGTATGCATTCTCTACATATACAATATATTATATATGTAAGTGTGTATATATTTATACTCTTGTGTGTGTGCGTAGTATTTTGGATGCAAGTGGCACATTGCTCTGTCCAATGGCTGTGGCAAAGCCGCAAAACGCATTTTGTGCTCATGCTTAAAATTTCATTTTCACGTGCTACGTACAAATGATTTCATTGCGCTTCGCTGCACTGCACGTCGACGTCAGTCGCTCGTTCATTTTCGTTTTCGTTTTCGTTTTGGGTCTGGGATCTCGTCAGAGCTTAGCGAAGTGCATCTAACGGCCTCGTCATAATAACAAATGACAAAACGTTCCCCAAACTTGCAGCTTGCCAATTTGATTTTATCGCCTTGGCCATAAGCCCCGCAAATGCCGAATGGCCAATGGAGTCGCTTAAGGCGATGCGACGGCAGCATTTCAATGAATACGTTCTCACTGGCAATTGTCTTGATGCAGCTTAGGGGGTGGGCGATGGGACGGCAGATGGCGTGCACTTTTGTGTCGTCACACCTGGCGTATGAGCGATAAAGTACCGAAACGAAGTTGCTGCTGCTGCTGCCTGATAGACAACGTCAGCAGACTTCAATTCAATGCACGTTTCTAATGCGATGAATTGCTTTTTCAATTTTCCAATTTATTTTTCATTTTGAAAACGCAGAGTGTGTGTGTGTGTGTGGGAAAGCAACCCAAGCAGAGGGTCCGAGCTGCGAAAGAAAAGTGTAGCAAGAGTTTATTGATGGTTTCTGTTGGTGCAGCTGGCAGCGACGCAGGCAACGCATGAGCTTGATTCTGACTGAGGCACGGCTGGCTGTGCCACGTATGACCCACACACACACTCAGACACGCAGGCAGTGGCCAATTTTTTGGACGAGCGCAGCGATAACTGTGCGCACTGCACAGATGTGCAGAAAATATAACTTTGCACTTGCCACTCGTTTGTCGAAGTTTGTTTACAATCGAGCTTGCTTGATTAATAAATACCCTGTATTGTTGAGTTTTAGCTGGCTATATTGATTGCTATGATAAGATCGCACTCACTCTCTCTCTCTCTGTCAATATCTCTGGCTTTTTTATGCCTCACTCTGCCTCTCTCTGTCACTCACTTAATGTCTCCCATCATTTGTCTCTTTCTCTCTCTCTCTCTCTGTATATCCCTCTTTTTCTCTCTCTGTATATCCCTCTTTCTCTCTCTCTGTATATCCCTCTTTCCCTCTTGCTATCTCTCATACTGCCTCTGTCTTTATCACTGCTTCTCCCTGCCACTCTCTTTATTACCCTCTGTCTGTCTCTCCCTCTGCTTGTCTGCCTCTCTCTCTCTAATCCTCTCTTTATTCCTAAATTACTCTCATTCTCACTCAATCTCTCTATCTCTATCTCTCTCTTTAATCCTCTCTTAATTTCTACATTACTCTCACTCTCACTCTCTCTGTCTTCCTCTCTCTCGCTGCCTATTACACCTTCTTTCTTCCTCCATCTCCCTTTCCCCCTCTCCCTCTCTTGCTAGGCCTTGCATGTATTACCTAGTTGGCAAATTGAGCATCGATCTGACTTGAATTTGATATTTTCCATAAGCCAACACTTTAAGCGGATTAAATGGGTTCACAGCTGAGTTGAGTTTACAGGAATTTTGGGTCAGTTGCAAATTTTTGTAATCAATTGTATTTACTTACCGAGAATCCATTGAAATGGGAACTCAGCACTTGATTGCAAATAATAGATTGGATTGAATATAACTCAGAATCGACGCACACTTTTGTTTCATTTGAATGTTATTTTAGTAAAATGTGTATATAATTTCTTATTAAAACAAGTCTTGGACATATTAAAACAAGTCTTGATCTGTTCAAAGTCTAGGCCAAACCAAATTAAAAAAAAAAAAATCAATTTGGTACTAAACGGGTTGTCAAAGAAAGAGAGTGCCAATAAAATTTGAAAAAATACCTTATATATTAGTGGCAATACATCATTTGAATTTACATTATATACGATATTTATATTCTTCGAAAAATTTCATTGGTACACAAATTCGCTTGAAGAAACTTTCAAGTTTCAAGTTCAACTTACAATTGATTAGTAGTTAATAACTGAAATTGATAAGTGATTAATATGATATAGATCTATTATATATATCTCTTCCTTAAACACGAGATAAATTACAATACGTGGCTCATCCAAAAAAATTCGTATTTCCGTTTATTTTCTATTGGTTTTTAATTTCTTTTTTTTTCAGACATTAGCAGCTGAGCAACGGAAAATTCTTAAGCTCATTTTCAGATATGCGCATAAAATGTCCTAATATTTGTTTCCCCTAATGCTGGACTAAATTCATAAGCTGCTTTCTAGACATACGAAACGAGCTTCGTAATATTTGTATCTTAATGTAGATATATTCTGGAATTCTTTTAAAGCGAATTCTTTGTAAGCGTATTCAAAGATTTAAATTCAAGGTCCTGCCGAATCATATTAATACTAGTCGGAATCTAGTTTAAATGCGCTTAAAACCGCATTAGAAAGAAGAAGGTACATATCTATTAATTTTTGAAGATATTATACATTGAAACTCTCATCATAGGGAATATTAACAAGGACATAAAAAAAATTAATTAAAAATAAATAAAAAATCAATAGGGTAGAACAGTAGGTATAATTATAAAAAAAATAAAAATAAAAAAATAAAAAATAATAAAATTATTCCAAAAACTAAAAAAATAGATTTATATAAATAAACTTAAAATATAAATATTATATGTATTATATATATTAATATTACATTAAGGAAACAAAGAACACAAAGATATAAATAAATAACCTCACATCCAATATAAAATAAAATCAATAGGAACTATCTGGTACACTCTTCGTATAGCTCCCTATATTACAATTCTTGATATAAAATTTTATTCAAATTATGCTGACCAGTGTTATAAATTTGTTAGCCCACAAATGTTGTTGCACAGTGTCTGCGAATATATAGAAATGGCTGGCGAAAATTGTAATTGCTTAGGCCGAGTCCATTTCACATTTATTATCGAATATGATGCGAAAAATGTGTGGAAAACAATTGGAAATCATGTGGAAAAGGGAAACAAACAAACGAACAGACAGAGAAACAACAATATGGAAATCAACATGATTGCTTATTGGGTATTAAATTTAATGAAAATTGGCTGCCAATGTGCAGAAATATTGAATGGGAAATTCCAACTGAATGCGGACGTTCGAAGCGTTTCGAGTGTTTTCCTTTCGACTTGCGACTTGTGCTCGCTGCTGGTCGGCGGAACTATGAATTGAATTGAGTTGATTTGGCATGTGAATTGCTTTCATTTTTCTTTATTTTTATTTGTTATTTTTTTTCTCATATTGCGATTGTGGCGATTTCTAAAGAACTTTGGTGTCTTTGACGTTGCCACCGACTCCTGCTCAATAGCTCAGTGTGTCAGGAGGCATGGCACAGCCGCATAAATTTCGATTTCGATTCCGATTTGCTCGACTCGAAAGCACACAAAGACAGCCGAAGGCGAAGGCGATGTTTGCTCAGTGACCAAGGCGGCCCCAGCTGGGAGAACGGCAGCTGACATAACTGGTCTCTAATTACGTTTGGGCAAACAGACCAAATTGCAGGTGTCACAACATTACCTGGCCGAGCCGCACGAGCAACATTTTGGCGAACGAGCTCATTTGCGGATGCGACGCGCTGGCGAACGGCGGCATGTGGACCCAACTGCTGCTCCTCTTGGCACTCGCTCCATTTCACTGGGGCTACGCTCGGGCAGCGGCCTCATCGCTGGATGAGCTGCTGGCGGAGCCGCTGCGCCGGATACCCTATCTGCACGTGCTGCTGCGCCAGGGACGACAGCTGCAGGAGGATGCCCGCAACAGCGACGCCATGTGGTTCATGCAGCTCACGGATGTGCCGCACATCTTGCACAGCTACGACGAGCGCCGGCCTCTGGAGCTGGACAGCAGGCTGGCTGAGCTGGATAAGCGCGCCTCCCTGGTGCTGGTGGTCAGCCTGGCTCAGCTGGTCGCCAGCAGCGGCGCCGTCAGCTCGGCGGATCGTGCCGGCGTCTACTTCTACATTGTGGCCGATGTGCCGGACAGCCTGAGCCGCGAGCAGCAGCTGCAGCTGGAGCAGAGCAGCCGCCGGCTGTGGACCCAGCACAGGGTCTTCAATAGGTACATTCTGGTGGCTGGCGATGTCTGGATCTATGATCCATTTGCGGGCGAGTGGGATGGCAATGTGATGGGCTACGACGAGGACTTCGGTCGCCTCATCCCCTATGCGGGCGGTGAGCCCCTCTCCACTCAATTGTTTCACGACATGCGCGGCTATCCGCTGCGTGTGCAGATCTTCAAGTCGGTCTATTCCCGGCCGCAGCTGGACCCGGAGACGGGTCTCCTGCGCAGCATCACGGGCGTCGACTGGGAGGTGGCGCTGGTGATAGCCGAGGCGCTGAACTTTACGATGCTGCTCCAGCAGCCGGACAAGAACTACTTTGGGTAAATACTGAGATTCGTGTTTAATTGAGATTTTCTAATCTCTGTTCCTCCTGCCGCTCCTCCCGCTCCTTCTCAGGGAGCGCAGTGCGAATGGCAGCTACAATGGCGCAATCGGCTCGATACTGAACGACGGCCTGGACGTCTGCCTGACGGGCTTCTTTGTCAAGGACTATCTGGTGCAGGAGTACATGGACTTCACGGTGGCCGTCTACGATGATCAGCTGTGCATCTATGCGCCCAAGGCCAGCCGCATTCCACAGTCGATTCTGCCCATCTTTGCGGTTGGCTACGACATCTGGCTGGGCTTCATCCTGATGGCGTTCGTGTGCGCGTTCATCTGGCTGCTGCTGCGCATCCTCAATCTGCGGCTGCACATCATCAGCGCCCAGAGCCGACGGCTCTGGCAGCAGGCGCTGGGCATTTTGGTGGACACGTGGGTGGTGTGGGTGCGCGTGAATCTGAGCCACTTGCCGGAGAGCTATGCGGAGCGCATGTTCATTGGCTCGCTGTGCCTGGTGAGCGTCATTTTCGGCGCCATATTCGAGTCCAGCCTGTCGACCGTCTACATCCATCCGCTGCACTACAAGGACATTCTAACGCTGCAGGATCTGGACGACAGCGGACTGAAGGTCGTCTACAAGTACACGTCCATGGCGGATGACTTGTTCTTTAGCGAAACGTCGCCGCTGTACGCCAGCCTCAATAAGAAGCTCTGGTGGAACCGGGACCTCAATGCGGATGTCACCAAGGAGGTGGCCACTGTGGGCGGCAAGGCAAGCGTCTCCCGGTACTCCTCTCTGATGATGGAATCGGTCAACTTCCTGCTGATGCGCCGCATTTGGATTGTGCCCGAGTGCCCCAAGTACTACACCATCTCCTATGTCCTGCCCAGAGATGCGCCCTGGGAGGAGGCAATCAATGCCCAGCTGCTGCGCATGCTCAACGCTGGCCTCATCCCGAAATGGATCCAGGACCAAAAGTACCGGGTGACCGTCACGACACGCAAGGCGCTCAACGAGCAGGCCGAGGCCACCGAGGTGCGCGTCCTGACCATCGGCGACCTCCAGCTGGCCTTCTATGTGGTCATCGTGGGCACTCTGCTTGCCTCAATCGCCTTTCTGGCCGAGCACGTCTTCTTCAGACGCCGTGTGCGGCAAGCCACCAAGAAACTCTAGTACAAGCGCAATCTTTGCATTCAATATTCACTTATCAAATATTTTCCTGAATACTGTTTGATATAAAAAATACTTACTATAAATATTATTCATAATATTGAATTAATATGTGGGTACGAATCAGACATATGAGATTCTAAATTCTTGTGCACATATCTATTGACCCAACAACTGCCTTGAAATATAGAAATGTCGAATTGGAGATTGCGCTAATATTTATAATTATACATAGATAGATATTTTAGTCTATTATAATAGTATTACAGTAAAGAATATTATAGCAAAATTTAATTAAGTATAGTATAGCATAAAATATTAAGTATAACTTAGCACATTATAGTACATTATATTATAGCATAATGAATTAATTACAGCATAGCTTTGTATAACAAATTAGAATATATTATAATGTAGTAATATATAACACATTATAGAAAAGTTTACTGTGGTGTAGTATAAAAATATAAAATATACCATATTATAGTGTAGTATAATATTATTATATATATTATATATTATTAAACAGTTTTGTCTCACATGGCATAACAGATTATATTATACAATAGTATACTATAGTATTGCACAACACATTATATAGTATAGTATAGCACATTGCTGTATTGTATAAGTATTGTATAGTATAACAGATTATAGTCGAGAGACATTATATGGTAAAGTCTAGTATAACATATTAATGTTTTTTACAGTCTAGTATAGTATAACAGTATATAGTCTAATATGGTGCAGTGTTGTACAATACATTGTTATATAACAGATTATGGTCTATTATGGTGTAGTGCTGTATAACATATTGTTATGTAATGCATTATAGTATTATAAGAGGCATTATATGGTATAGTCTAGTGTAACACATTAATGTATTTTACAGTCTAGTATAGTATAACAGTTTATAGTCTAATATGGCGAGGTGCTGTATGCAGTCGTATAACACATAATTTTAATATAGTATGCCAGATTATATTGATATTATGGTATATTACATTTAGTATAACACATAATGGTATACGATGCTATAACATATTATTGTACACTAAATTAAGCGTTCAGCTATAACATATCAAATCAGCTATAAAAACTATCCCTATAAGTCGAGTAAAAAATCCAATCAGTCACTCTCAATCGCCATCGCTTGACAAACAGGTAAGATGAAACCCCACATTAGATCTACGTTTATGGGTTTGACAACTCACCCTTGGATATATGTAGTCGATGTCAAGAGCTCAGATCAATTGTGGTTGGTGCTCAAATACGTCATCATTTCGTTTAATAGTTTTTGGCTGAAAATTGTTGCCGACATTTGATGATGGTGATGGTTGCAAATTTCATTTGCCAACGGCCAGCAGCCGAAATCAACCTGCAATTGTGGAACACACAGGCACAGACCCACACACACACACACACACACATGTTTAGAGAGCAGCAACTGAATCGCTTATATAATTTAGCCATGTTAACAATGATACGCGCCAATGGCAACCGCAATTCGCTGGATGCCCAGGGGCTGGACCCAAATCGAATTGCCAGCGCCCAAATATATATTGCACAATCCAAGGCTGCATTACAAATGCAAGTACAGTGATCTCTGGCTGGCATGACTTGTCTGCATTTGACATGGCTTTCTGTTCAACTCAACTTGACTGAATTAGTTGGCAGTTGCTAACTGGCGGCACTCTCTGACATTTGACTGTCAAGTTCGCTTAGCTGGTGCTCACTGTAGCCGCATTACGCACGCACACGTCGTTTGCTCTCTGTTTATTTAGCATTTTGGGCCTGCACACGAAATTACAATTAAACGGCCTCAGCGGCAGCGACAACATCTCATTTGGGCATTCAAATGTGCAGTTCAACTGTCCCACACACCCACAAACGCAGACACACGCACACCCAAGACAGTGGACAAGTGACACAATTAAATATTCCAGAGTTTATGGCATCTTGAGGATAAAGAGAGAGAGAGAGAGAGAGAGAGAGGGAGAGAGACCTTCTGAGTGCATAAATGTAATTGCAACAATGATGCGAGACTCTGATACTCGCATTGTTCGAGTTATTTATAGCTGTTGCTATTGTTTATTGTCGACTGTGTCTAGCTGTGGACTATGAATCATAAGAGGCCAACACGTTCGAGTGTTTGGATCGAAAGGCTAGCTGAGTCACATATGAGCAAAGATTGCACTGGAGTGATACGAATAGCGAGCGTGCTAATACAAATTTTGTTAATGAATTATATACAATAGGTGTGCTAAAATTGACTAATGAATTCGAATAAGAATATATATAAAGCTAATAATTTATTTTTATGTGAATCAGAGACTAGGACCACTGATATTTACATTTCAATTTGACTTTGAAGCACACCAGAATTATCAAATCGAAACTACATTTAGGGACATTAGAATTAAAAAAAAAAAAAAGATTTGTTGATCTTTATTTTTATTTCATACTATTCGGTTTATATATCAAAAACTTGATTAGTAATTGGGTAATTCAAGACATAAATTTCATATGCAGCTCAAGCAGAAGCTCAGAGTCAAAGTCCCCAGGGAACTAGTTCTCGATAATTAAAAGCTGATACACATATAACTTTTTTAAATGATATTTACAGCATTGTGATTACATATGCAACCTACTACTGTTAACGCTCTCTGTTAACTCAAGCCTTCTTCGGCTGTTAAAAAGCTGTTGCATATGTCCAGGCGAAAAGATAATATGTGTGTGTGTTTTTTTTTTTTTTTTTTGCACCGTACCTAAGCTAATGAGTCCTTGGCACGCGCCACCTGTGCAGAGACTTAAAGTTGCATTTCGAGTGCTCAATTGAACAGGTGGACGAGAGCCAGAGGGTCGGAGACGACCTGAGGCGGTCTGGCATTGAGGAAGGCAGCAATTGAAGAGCGATTCGGGGCCAGTCGCCGGCCGAGCACAAATACTGATGGCGACGTAACGCGCATGCTAATGAAGTTGGTGGGAATTGCCTGAAGTCCGGATTTAAATACGCCCAGCCACTTAGCCAGTCAGCAAATCAGGGAATCAGTCAGTCGAAGCATTTGGCAATGTTAATTTGATGATCTTGTTAATAGCCAATTGAAAAGCACGTGCCTTGGTCACATGCCTGTTGCCCGAGGGCATGAGCTTGAGCTGATTATACAATAAGATGTGTATACATACACATATTGCTTATTAGCCAACTATTTGTACGTTTTTTTATACTCAACGCCGGCTGTCATCATTTATGGCCGAAAAAGAAGTGCCCATTAGCAATGGATTTTTATGGCTAATTAATTGCTTCGATGCTGGCTAAAACATTGCGCCGCTTTGATCATCGTCTGCAGATGTTTTATGTATTTCAATAAATATTTTAGCAATGCCATAAGAACGAGCATATTCGATTTGTTTTTAACATTTTGGATACTTAAAAGAGGAAGCCTATGAGTTCGTTATGCAGAATGTAACGCAGTGGATAGAGAAGAGCATCTGTAGAGACTTGTAGATGGAGATAAAGATAGATAGTAGAGGCATAAGTATATAGATGATCGATTGAATAGGTAGAAGAACATATAGATGATAGATGATAGATATATAGATACCCAGGCATAGATACATAGATATACACATACATAAGAATATACATAAGTAGATAGATGGATATACAGTCGATGCATAGATATATACATAGATGCATAGATACATAGATACACAGATACAAAGATACACATACATAGATCATATCTATGTAGATACATAGATTGTATCTATGTACACAGATACATACAGAAATATACATAGATACACATACATAGATACATAGATGCAAAGATACATAGCCACGAATATACATAGATACATTGATATATAGATACATAGATAAATAAATACATAGATACAGAGATTAGAGAGAGTATCTAAACTTATACCAGCTGTTTTATAATAATTTTCTTTCTTTTTGGCTACGGAATATTTTCAATATTATTCGTATTGGAATTTGGGAATATATTCTTAAAAGCATGCTGCTTGACTAATAGTCTAGTCTAACGCATTAAATAATATATAAATTATAATTAAAGCTCACAGCAAATACTCTTAAAATATTTTTAAATTTATTATCAATTCGCCAATAAAGCCAATAAAGCAAATCGAACTGTTTATAGTAAAAGTTGCTTAAATCTTTAAAAGTCAGTTTTATGGCTGGCCTTGACTTGAAATTGGTTTTGCGGCAGCAATTAATCATATATAGACATATACATATACGCATATATATGCAAAAATATGCATATAATAAATATGAAATTGATTTATGAATATTTTCGATACACGAAAATAATTATGTTTTGTGTATTCAGTGCAAATGAAATTCAAGCGAAAAACAATCATATATTTCCATGCTGTCATTTATTTTGTATTTTTTATTTATTTGTTAATGCGCATCACGTATAAAGCTGGGGCATTTAAAATGTAATTAGCTCAAATGCAGATCTGAATATTCAATTTGTGGACAATTTGATGAACTCTGCGAACAAAATGTTTCGATTGCAATTAGCTGCTTCAATTGTTGCTGTCGCTGTTGCTTGGCCACCCAATGCGTGGGGCAATTGTTCGGCTATTTAGAGCTCGATAGTATAGCAGTTGCACATACACACACAAATATGTGCATTGCTGTTTATATATGGAATTGAAATTCCAAAAGGCCTTAAAATAAAATAAGTCTTGCGACGCACGCACTGAACACATCAAAATTTTTTCATTTGGTTTATTTCCGAATCATAACTTTTGTTTATCTTCAGCTGGGACGAGCTGTTGTTGTTGCTGTTGTTGCTGCCGGTGCTGCTGTTAATGCTAATGCTGCTTCTGTTTAATCTTGATCTGTCCGGGCTTCCAGCAACTCAGTGCTGCGTCGCCTCTGTCTGCGTCCACGTCCAAATTGTATTCCTAGCCAAAGTGAATTTCCAAACGTGCGCTGGCTTGAAACAGAAAACTTTATAATAAACATATCATATGTATAATTTATATACATATCGAGTTCTTAT